CTCCAACTCAAAAAAAAAAAAAAATACAGATGGAGTCTTGCTATATTTCCCAGGCTGGTCATAAACTTCTGGCCTCAAGTGATCCTCCCACCTCAACCTCCCAAAGTGCTAGGATTATAGGCATGAGCCACTGCACCCAGCTAGCTTTGTACTTTTTAAAACCCTTTCTTGTCTGCCATTCCTTGTGGTTTTCATGATGTTCCCACAGTACTGCAGAGCTTGGACCAGACAGAACCCAGTTTCCTGCACTGATGGCTGCAGAGCCAGCTTTGCTTTGGATGATGATGGAGAGCTTATGTTCTCATCCCGGTGTAGCCCAGGTGAGAAACTCTCTCCCCGTGGCTTAGTCTGTGCCCCTCACCTCCATCTGTACTTCTGTGTTGCTGCTTCACCACCTCTCGTGTGCAGTTGAAACTTCTGGGCTGAATGGAAACCCGTAACTTAGCCAGTTATGGCTACACTGGCCATGGTGCTAGCATGAGTCTATACTTCTACTGTGGCACTAAGTGTAGGCCAGAGAAATCATTCCCACTGTACTGTAAACTTGAGTTTCCCTATCAATAGCAAGTGTGTCCTAAGAAATTTGGTAGTAGGCGGAGAGCAGTGGTTCACGCCTGTAATCCCAGCACTTTGGGATGTCAAGGCCGGTGGATCACAAGGTCAGGAGATCAAGGCCATCCTGGCCAACTTGGTGAAACCCCATCGCTACTAAAAATACAAAAATTAGCCAGTCATGGTGGCATGCATCTACAGGCCCAGCTACTCAGGAGGCCAAGCCAAAAGAACCTCTTAAAACTCTTTGGCAGCTTTAAAATTGACTACAGGCTAAGCTGTCCTGCTGATCCTAGAAGAACTGAGACTGGTGTTACTAGGCTTGTCCACCTTTGCAGTAAATACGTATCTCGGCTATTACTTCAACTGCATCTAAAATTTTCTTTCTTAGTGGGTATGAATGCATTCTCATGTTTTCTTGGAATGAAGAAGTCAAGGCTTAAAATCCTAGTTTTACCACCACTTGCTTACCTTGGACAAGCTGCTTGGTCTCTGCAAAACCTCAATTTCTTCAATGTAAACTCAGAATTTTATTTTTATTTTTATTTTTTGAGAGAGAGTCTTGCTCTGTCGCCAGGCTAGAGGGCAGTAATACGATCTTCGCTCACTGCAAACTCTGCCTCCTGAGTTCAAGCGATTCTTGAGCCTCAGCACCACACCCCACCCTCCCGAGTAGCTGGGATACAGTCACACGCCACCACGCCTGGCTAATTTTTGTATTTTTAATAGAGATGGGGTTTTACCATGCTGGCCAGGCTGGTCTGGAACTCCTGACTTCAGGTGATCTGCTCATCTCAGCCTCCCAGGGTGCTGGGATTACAAGCGTGAGCTACCACACCCAGCCACAAATTTTACTTTTTTTTTGAGATGGAGTTTCACTCTTGTACTCCATGTAGGTCAGGCTGGTCTCAAACTCCCGACCTCAGTGGATCCACCCACCTCGGCTTCCCAAAGTGCTAGGATTACAGGCGTGAGCCACTGTGCCTGGCTTACTTTCAAAGTTAAAATGATATTCTGTGAAAATGCTTGGTGAAAGGTGAGGTGAAGTTCTGTATAAATGAGAATCACTGGGGAGGCTCTGGGGGACCTGAGTTTTTAGGTGGCAGGACAAAGGTGGGGCCTTGAGGGTGTTAAGGAGGACACAGCTTAGAAAAATCTCCCTCCTCTATCTGAGCACTGATAATTTAGTTATTTAGTCTCACGAAATATCGAAAAGATATGAAAAGGCATGTTTGTTCCTCAGTAGGTTTAACGGTGAGCACTGGAAGTTCTGGCCTCCTTGGAGAGTGGCCCTGGAGAAGGACTGGAAGTGGGAGGGTGGCCACAGGAAAAATTACGGAAACTCCCTGGTATGAATGGGACCAAGACCTCAGGCTTTCCATTCAGGAAGGTGTCCCCTTACCAGATTGATGCCATTTACTTCTATATGTTGGAGAAGGACGCTGGCCACATGTTCTGTGTCCCATTGCACGCCTGGGTCATCTGGAAAATCCCTACAAGGGAGAAGCATAACTTGAACACCTTTTCTAACCAAGTACAACCTTCTCCCTAAGCTCCAGTAGATGCATGTCCAGTTTTATGATACTTAGGGGGGCAACGGGTCCCTGCCTTTAAGCTTCCTCAGATTTCAGTTAAGGTAAGATTTACAAACATGAAACAACTAGAATTTAATGCACAATTCCACATGAGACACTTTTGGGGCTTTATGCTTGTTGCTGAGGGGAAGAAACATCAACAAGACAAGGCTATGTCCACAAGTTGGGGAGACAAATGTGTTAAAAATGAACTTGAGGCCAGGCACGATGGCTCACGCCTGTAATCCCAGCATTTTGGGAGGCTGAGGTGGGTGGATCACTTGAGGCCAGGAGTTCGAGACCAGC